AATCCTCCAGTTGAGCACAAACGTATTTGTTGTTTTCAGCTTCAGATGTCGCTGTGGAACCGTAGTATGCTCTAATAGTCTGAGTGCATGCCTGTGTGTATTAAAAGATGCTTTGCTGGGCCGACATTACTGTTACAGTTTTAACTTGGCTGCCTCCACAGTATTCCCCAGTGTCGTCCAGGGAAATTTTGGAGTTGGGAGGGTTTGTGGGCTAGAGAGAGGCAGATGATGGATTGGCACAGGGAAGCAATAGGTAGAAAGATGGGTGTGCCACTTCTTATTCTGCATGTTTTAATGATCAAGACGGTGTTCCCATCACTTTTTGCAGGGCAACAGATTGCATTTGTCTCTGTCAGTTTTACATGTGGCAGCCTGGAGCCTTCTGGTTGTCTTGGCCTGTTATTACATTCAGCATCACAGACATGCAGGCTGACCTTCTGATGGCTTGCTTTCACTGCCAAGCCATCAGTTTCACCTTTTAACTCTCCTTTCCTGGCACAGTGGTGCCTCAGAGCTTTTAGGGATTACCTTAATGGAGAGAAAATAGTGAAGTGTACATGCCTGTTATGTCTTTTTACCTGGAGCCTCATTGTTTTAAGTGTATAGAAGCCACATCCAGTGAATGGGTGAGAGAAAAAAACAAATGTTTCTTTTTCAAATTCCATTTTTGCTGGATGTTGAACAAAGCCCAAATGTTTGCCGTCAAATATCTGCACTAATACATTTCAAGGTCTGTCTGACCGCTTCCTGTTAGGAAGAGAAGAGCCACTTGTTCTTTTTGCAGATTTAGTAATTACAGTATGGAACAGGAAAGTCATGGTAGCAGTACCATCACAAAGCCAACAGGTAGCACACAAGTTGGTTTTAATGTGGTAACCTTTCCAACTATCCTTATGAGTGCGACTAATATGGCCCACAGCTGTCATTTTAAAGTTTAATACATGTGGAACTGCAGCCCCCTTGTTGGTTCTTGAGTTGTGACCTGCAGGGTTTTTACAGGCCTGATTTGTGGTTTAATAGCAGGTTATATTGAATCCTGCCATGTCCCTCTCTCCTTCTAGTTATTTGTTCTAACTGTTCCCACTAGAGCATATAGTTACAATTGCCAACAGCTGTACGCCTGTTGCCTGTAGTCTTAATAGACATGCTGGATTTGCAGTTTGCTGTTTTCGCAACTGCTGCTAATTTTTTTCCTTTACCTCTTCCCTGCTTCTTCTCTGGTTAATATTCAACCGGTCTACCCACCTTGTGCTGTCACAGCCTGTATCCTGCAAGGAGCCCTGCCATGCTTGCAGTAAATTAGGCTGTGTATCAGAGGGTTGAGCTTGCCTTGCTTTCCTCAACCATTTGTGTAAAAACAGACCTTTTGGGGAGACACTGCTCTATCAGGAAAACTTGGCTCTGTTTAAAAACACAATTCAACATGGGAGAATCAGCAAAAGGAGTCCCAAGAATAATGTTGCCCTTAGAAATAACCAGCCACAGCATAATAGTTTGATATGAATATGAGAAAAAAAGAAAAAATAGTTAAATATATACACTAAGATTAAAAAGAAAATCAGCAGCAGAAACACACAGAGAGGCTAAAGGCAGTGAATGTCTTCCTTGTATCATTCTCTCTTTGACAGATAAGCAACATGTATTAAATCAGAATCAGCTTTACTGGCCAGGTGTGTTGGACATGAAGAATTTGATTCTTGTACAGAGATTAAATACAAAGTAGAGAAGTGCATTTTGCCACATTAATATAAAAGAACCCTAACAAAGCTGAGACTCACAGATTGCAGCAAATTACATAACAATAAGTAAAATGTTTTGGCACTGGCAAATGTGCATATGCACGCATATCTTTAGGAATTTGTTAAGTTCAGTGGTTTTATTAGTACAAAGTTTGATTGAAATGATGCAGAATTTATTGCTATTATCCTGATCCATAAAGCTGGCAGCTCTGAGCTGAAAGTGCACTTCAAAATTGTCTTGACATGATGTTCTGGACAGAGAGTTCTGTCTTCAGGGTCTTATTGAGGCTAATGATAGATTTTTCAATTTATTACTCATGCTTTTTTATTCACTGATCTCACTTAATTTTGCTGATGTCTAACAGTTCAGAGCCAAGCCTATTCAGTGGAAAACACCTTGTATGTGAGCAGTAAGACATTTAGAGAGCTCATCTTCTGTAATGTTAAAGTATAAATTAGTATTTTATTTGTTTTTGAATTGTTATTTCGCAGCCACCGAAACAATCAGTTTGGTGCCTGAGAAGCTATTTTACCAAACCAATTCCAGTTTCTGGAAATTAATGCTGAAACATATAGTCACTTAATTGATTATAAATTGAATTGGCAAAGGACTGGTGCCCTTTTTTATATATAGTGAAATACTATAACCTTTGTAATTTAAACTGTTGGTGGAACAAAACAGTGAATTCCAAGACCACACCTTGAACTCTTTCTGACATTTTACAGACTAAATAAATAATTGAATAATGGAGAAAATACTCTGCTAATTAAATGTTATGGTGTCTTTCTATGCCCCAAAAGACAGTAAATGAATATTTGCATTATCCCAAATAATATTTACTTACCTTTTTTAAATCAGCATTGAGACAAGAGCAACTCAGGAAACCTCAAGATGTACGGTAGTTGCCTATGTGACAAAAGCACCATGTACAGAGTAAAAATGTTCAAAGAGCCTATGAATTTAAATTTAGCTTTTAAGGAGTTTAGAGTTCTATTTTGATATATGCCGTCAGCAGCTTTCTTGTCATTCTGGGAGACTTGCAGCTTCTCTAACACCCTCCAGTACCTCTGACTCATTTGTTTAACATGCCCAAAATATAAAGAAAGACCACCTGCCTCTTCCTAATCCATCAGAGCACAGCCAATCCGGTTGCCTTCATGTCCCAAGTCGACTTTTGGAAGTGTGTGGTCCAGGATGTGGTTGTTGGATATAGGATATTATGTATGTCTGTTGATAGTTGGTTATGGGTAGAGTGGCAAATGCCTCATCTCACAGACTGAAATTCCCACTGAAGGTGAAAAGTTGAGGAATATGGCTCAGTGAATGCAAGACAAAATAAGAATATGGGGTAATCACAAAAAATGAAATATATGAAAAAAAAAACCCATTTTGGCATCTTTCATATGGATCATCTTCATTTTGTCGATCAATCTCCACAAATGAAAAGAAGGTTTTTAGGTTTGATCTGTTTTGCATGAACCCAGAGACCAAATGGAGCTGGACTGCTTGATCAAGCTGCAATCATTGCTAGTTTGTTTTTTATTTGCCTTGCGGTATCCTTTTCTCAGCTTAGATAATTTCTCCCCCTGATTGTCTTGTCTTATCTTTCAGTGCCCTCTGCAGCAGACTTGTTTTATTTAGGCAAGTCAATGCTCTTGATTGTGCTCTCTATCTTCACAGTGCAGCCCAGGCCTCACGAGGTGGGCTCACAGATCTTATCGGTTCTGATTGTAGACTCCTTTTGTCATTTGAGCCCTGTATTATTTAGTTGACCGACAGGCTACACCTTTTCCTGGAGCTTCTTAGTCTTTGTAGTTGCAATTTGGCCTGCTGCAGACCTGGACTTACTGACAGACATTGTCGTCTTGAGATAAAGCATTAACCAGAAACCCACCCCATCAAGGCTCTTTTATGCAGGCTTCAATGATGTTGCTGTTGTGTGGGCTTGCACAGATTGTTTTGGGTTATTGTCTGCCAGCATATGTGGAAATATATTGGCTGTGACTGACGAAAGTAAAGATGAATAATTCGTTCCCGTTTTCTGTTCTTACTCTGCTGCCCACACAACTTTTACCCCAGCTGTTTTCAAGACGAGGGCTTTGTACAGTATACTGTACATCTTTGTGAAGTATATTCACAAACTGCAGTTTGGAAAGTTTCTGGGCTGTATTCCAAACCAGTGGTACAAAGAAACGTATGCAACAAAACTGAGTTCATATATTTCTGTTTACAAGCCAGTTTAGCATTTTAACTTCTGTTAGAACTTTTTCATATTGACTTGAAATTATAGAGGCATGTCACTGTTTTTGATGCTCCGTCAGCCTTGGTATATAGGTCCAGCTTTGTCAACCATTAGGGCCCTTGAGTCAGGTCCTTGTTAGCTGATGCACAGTAAGTTCCAACCTAATGAAGTGCAAACCAGAGATGTGGGAGGCTGCGAGGGACCAGAGAGTTCAATCCTAATGCTGTTTGCCAGAAGGTCAGTCCGTTCCACCTCACCCGTGCTCAGTTTATCAGCACTTCATAATGTGGTGAATGTAAGGGCAGGGTATTGAAACATCTGATAGCCCTTTAGTGTGATATCTCTGAAAGAATGAATAGAGTGAGAAATGTGCTCACAACGAGTGTGCAGTTTGATTACAGCTGCGTCAGAATGACCTTCTGCCCTTAACAGGCTTCCTCTGTGTTAAGGTTTGTCCACCGGAGAGTGTTGCAGCCTCCATCTGGCCAGCTTCCTCCTCTCTTCCTCTGTGTTCATTAACAGTCCATTTGTTGCTCCTGCCCTGAGGAGCTTCCCTCTGCTGCTCACTTGCTTAACTCATCCTAATACTGCTGATGAGCCTTTAAAGTACAGATGGTCTACTTCATTCACCCCTATTAAGCCTCAGCAGTTTTTACGCTTTTAACTTTACTGGTGTTTTATAATGTAATGATTTTTTTTGTAACCTGCTTGAAGTCTGAAGTTTGAGAGTTGATGATTAAATATGTTGTGATTGTAAAAAAACACTAAAAATGCATGATGATCATTATTTTCTGTTCCTAAAGTTCTTGTAAGACACTGTTAGCCTTCATAACAAACCATTTCCCTATATGTTAATCCTTATGAACACATTATAATGCATATTTAATGCATTAACACAGAAAGTGCTATCATTTCACGGTAGCTCTTTTCTGATGGTCATGTGACAGTGCTCTGATGTGTTTGCTTGCACATCTGTGCACAAACACACAAATTAACACCTGGCATGTTTCTCTTCTAGCCAACCCTGGGGCCTGTTTTCCTAAGCAAGGTAACTCACCGAGCAAATGGCTCCCTGCTCTTTTATCATGCTTTAAGTTCATCTGTTTTCCCAGTCACATACTTTTGTGTAACCATACTGTCTCCTCCCGGCTGTCTCCCTTCTCTTCCTTCCACCTCGAGCTGTGTTATCCGTCAGTTAGAGCACTGATAAAAGGCCAAGGGCTGTCAGATTGATGAGCCTCCTTAAAATATGGACAGCAGAATCAGTATCCTCTAGACGAGAGACTGTGAAAATATATAGAGGAAATGGCAGAGGGTTGAATAGGAATTTCATAAAGTTAAAACAGGCGTTGGTGAGGAAGCTTGACTTCACCTGACTTTGTCACCATAATTTTCAGTATTTTGTTTCTGTCTGTTTTCACAGAAAACACAAAAAGGCACTTAACATGACAAGCAGGTGTATTACAATGAAATATACACTGACAAAAATTCTCTTTTAGCCTCTTGCTTTGATTTAATGGAGAAGCATTTTATATTTCTCTTTTTCTTCTATTCAGAACTTGAAATCAGATATTTTGCAGAGAACCACTCGGTCCTGGTTTAACATCTCATCCCTTTTCTCTCTCTCTGTCCTTTCCTCTCGGTGCCATCTTTTTCCACTCTCATTCTTTCTGCTTATTTTGATTCCACCTGTGAGTGCTTGCTCAGTGTGTATGTACATCTCCACCCTAAATTTTTTCTGCATGCTTGTTTGGATGATGATTCACCTCCTTCTTGCACACTGTACACCCCTTCCTTGTGTCTTTCCTTCATTCTTTTTCTTTATCCTCCCTTCTCCACTTCTGTCCTTGTCCCTCAGATCCCGAGCGTGGTGGCAGTCACATGATCTCGACAGATGACTTGGAGTATCCAAGGGAATACCGGACACTGGGGAATAGTGCCCGCCGCTTCTCCAATGTGGGCCTGGTGCACACGTCGGAGCACCGCCATACCGTCAGCGCCGCCCAGAGTCTGGAGGCCCTGACCAATCTGCACAAGGCTGACATGGAACGGAAGAGGGATGCCTTCATGGATCACCTGAAGAGCAAGTACCAGCAGCAGCAGCAGCAGCTGCAGCATCCTCACCACAGCCCACACCACAACCCGCCATCGCCCTCACCCTCCCACGCCAGCATGAGGGGCACATCAGAGAGGTCTGCACGAGAACAGGTACACAGTTCACCTGCTCACGAGGAAGTTACTCTCTTAAATAGAACTCTGTATGTTTACAACATACATCCCAATGTTGTCACATTATTCATGCATCTGTTGTTCATATCACTTCACTGCCATTTGGAGATACATATTACACTTCAGTTAGTACTAAGTGTGCATTTCTTTTTTGCAGTTAAACTGGTTAATACTGACACTGATATAGTGAAATCAACACAAAAATTACATTTGCATGTAGAGACAAAGTCCCATCACTTAGGTGAAATCATATGTATCGTAAATTTAGCAAACTGATGTAATGACAGAATGGCATATGGGGGAGAGAGAGAGAGAGAGAGAGAGAGAGAGAGCTAGTGAAGGCGGGTGAAAGACAGATGGAGTCCATCGTTGCTGTGGCAACCCATGCCTTATATGGTAAGTAGAGATATCACATTGCAAAGGTCAGGTTGTGTAGAGAAGAAAGAATTGTAGAGTAATAAAGCCAGAAGGAAGAGAGGAAAACAAGTGGAAGGCAGGCAGTTAAAAACAAGTAGTAACCACCAGGAAGGTGAGTGGACACTTCTAGTGACAGGGCATTTTCACTGCACAGGGGAGGAAGCAGCAGCACCCAGGATTCCTTCTCATCTTTTGGTTGTACAGACTTTGACGGCAAGGAAGGAAGGAAGGAGGGAGGGAGGAGGGGAGGTGGAGCTGGAGAGTAGCAAAGCAGCTAGTCAAACAGTCCACTGCTCAATTAGCCAGCACCAGCGGGAGACAGCAACCCATCTGCGAAGGAGTTAATCGGCTGGTGTTGTAATTAATTAAATAAAGAGTTTCCGCCGCATGTGCAACTGGAGAGAAAGAGGGGGGAAGAGAGAGAGGGAGGCTTGAGTGAGGGAGAGGGAGGAAGGGGAAGAGAAACGGAGGGAGGGAGACATGGGTAAAAACGCAATGAGGACTCGCTAGACCTGATACACACACAGCTTGGGATGACTGGAGTGGTGGACAGGCACAGGTGCACTGCAGGTGAGATGAGACTGGAAGCTTGAAACTGGAAGCCAGAGACTGTTGTAGACAGGTGTGTGTGGGTGTGTGCATGTGTGTGTGTGGGATTAGGATGTGCCAGCTGGGATTAGATTCCACGCCGTGTAGTGTTTGTTGTGGTTCTTGTGGTGATG